TCGTGTGTGTGTGTGTGTGTGTGTTTCCTTCATTGTTTTTTCAAATTTATCGAACCTTATTTTTGCTATGGGAAATCGTGTACCTTGTAGAGCAGTGGGTGGTATGGATTTTTATATAAATCAATAACAATATTGTTGTCCTCTTTATACATGGGTGATGACAGAATGAGGAATGCCAATTTTAGAAAGAGGTTCTTTCCTCGCTTACCCCTACCCAGCGCCCCTGTGCTATTCACGGTGCCAGTGCTCTGGGAAGGCCCCCTTTGCAGAGAACGTCTCAGATTCAAATGTCAGACGCGACGGAGCCAGAATCACTGTCGGCTCCCAGGTTTAAGAATGGTAGAAGTGTGAACTAAATGAGTCACTGTTGCTGTATGAATTTTAGCAGAAATAACTAACATAGACTACTTTGCCAATTCACAAAAAAGGCTGACTTTACAGCTGAGATGTGATGGTGCGTATAGGTCCGTATTTTGTGACTGAGATTGTATCTGTGAAAGCTACGGCTTTAGAAGAATTCAGGAAAAATGGAGCACAACTTTTTTGTTGTTTTGTTATTATTATTATTTTTTTGCCTTTGATTTCATAGAATGTTGACTCCACCAAGTGGATTAGATTTAGTCTCTATGAGGTGAATTTGTTCTGCAAGCCAAGATTAAACATTTATCTTCAAATCCTAAGATTAGGTTTAGAATATTCGGATTGTTCATCTACTGGTCCTCAGGAATTTTAAAAATAGAGCACTAGGATATTCCACTTCTGTCCTGGTTTCAAGACTCATAGAATTCCTTGTTTCTTCAAGAGTAACACAATTTTAGGAAACCTTCTTAATTGTTCTTTCCCATTCTCTTGAATTGTTCTTTCCCAGGGCTTGCCTCACATGGTTAATATTAGTTTGTGCATGATCAGAAGGACATTCAGGACAAGCAGACTTTTCTCTCAATTTGATGGAAATCTTGGGTTCTCTGTCCCTGACAGGGAATCTGGTTTCCACGTGGGGTGGGTCAGCGGTTCTGAGATGTGTTTCTGCATCTGTGAGATGGGGGGTGGACCAGCAGACCTCTGGGGCCCTCTCGGCTCTGATCCTGAGGCCCTCTGAGGTAGTTCCAAGACTCTGAAAGATTCTTCAGAAGCTGTGTGTTGAAATGTACCGAAGGTAAAGAAGACCCCAGATTTGGAGAGAATTCTGTTTTAACTAGGAGAACATGCAGTGACTCTCAAATCTGTTGTCGATTCTGGCAGTTTTTATAAGAAGTCAAATAGGAAATTATGGCAGAAAGCAATGTTGTTTTCTTCTTTCCCTAATTCCTGGCTATTTTTTTTTTTTTTAAAGAAGGAGAACTTTTTAAACATTGAAAATGGTTTTAGTAAGCTTATGGTTTCTGAAGGAAACTCTGGTTCCTGAGTTGCTCATTCTGTATTCTGTTCCAATGCTGTGCTTCTGATGTCACCCTAACTTTGTCCCCCAGGGTTTCTTGTGAGTAACAATCCTTAGTATCCCTCAATGTCTGGATCGGTGGAAGTACTCAGTAGGTTCCATAAGGAATGGACAAACTATTATAAAAATATCTTCTTTGTTTTCCTATCTTCTTTTTCTGACTTGCGTTTTACTCTGTCGAGGAGGGTTGCTGTTCTGGTGTGTCAAAATGTGGTGTAGGGGTCAAACTGCATTGGCACCAGCTTCTGAAGTATCTCGTTGACAGAACAGAGCCACAGCAACCAGGCCCTCTCCCCTCAATACCTGCCTATATTTTAAGAGGTTGGGTTTTAGTTTTACTTTTTTATAAATTAGCAATATCAACTGATCATTCTATTAAAATATGATTAGCTAAAGAAGGGACTTTATAAATGAGTTGCCACCTTCTTGGTGGTCAGAGGTTCTCAGTCTTGGCTGCCCATAGGAACCCACCTCAGGAGTTCTAGAAAGCTCTGCTGCCCAGGCTGCCCCTGGGCCAGTGAGAACAGAGGCCTGGCTAGCACTGGGCATGGGTCATACTAAAGGAGGCCCTGGCAATGCCCTGGCAGCTCAGGGAAGAGCCTTTCTTTGTAGGGTTATTAACTTGCTGGAAATATCACAATAACCTACTTATTAGAGGACCTGAATGCACTGGGCTTTAGGGTAGCAAAGTTGGTGGAGATGGCCTTCGTGAGTCAGGGTCAAATTGGAAACCCGCCTCTACCAACACCAGTTTTTTAAAATTATTACTATTGATTCATAATAGTCATACAAACCATTAGGATTTATTTTGTTAACACGTGTTTTGTTAATGTGGACAGCTGCTTTACCATGGTCTGCAATTTCAGTTCCATTCCAACTTTTGCATTCATCTTTAACACGTAATAGCCTCATCACGATTTCTAGTATTTTCTATGTCAAATCAAGAAGCTTAATATATCCAGATTTCCAACCCAGTCAGTCTGATTCAGCTGGCCATGTGATGGAAAGACGTTTCAGTTTGATGTCGGGCTCATGACTCACCTTTGAGAAGATTTAGTTTTTGTGAATTTGAAAGTTAATGGGTTGATGTGGGTATTGCTGTTATCCAAGAAGGGAGAGTGAACGTGACTCAAGCCTTTCTGAGCGATGTTCCCCCTCATTAAGGAATCAGGCTGTCTGAGCCCTTCACTGTGTACCGTGTCTGTGGTGAGTCTCCCACATTTGTGAAATGTTGGGAAACTGAGGCAGCATGGTGGGGTGGGGCAGAAGGGAGTAGGGTGGGAGTAGCAATATCGGCCCTAAGTACTTCATGGGGTTCTTATGAGACTCAGATAACTCACAAAGACATCGTTCACCGAGTCCCCATCTCAGGCTGGGTGGCAGATATGAAGGTGGCCTGGGAAGGAGCTAGCAGATGAATTAGTCACTGTTCACATTTACAAACAGTGCACAGTGCAGACTCTTTCAACTCTGCATTTCCAGGTCTCAGGACCTAGCATATGACATAGAAGGGGCTAAAGTATCGATTTTGTGAATGAATCAATCACATAATTCATTTCCTCAGAAACATGTTAGTCTGGACTTGTCTTCCTTGGAACAAGTTGAAATGAATGTAGTGTGGAAACAGGTTCACTTCCCTATTGGTTTAAAATTCCATGTGACCTTGAACGTGGTGGTCTGGCCTCTGCTCCTTTTAGACCACAGACATGGTCAACATCTGAGTTAGAGTTTAATTCGTTCGTGTTGGTATACCCCGTTTTCCCAGTCATCATTTAGCAATGCTGAGAGTACCTATCTTGGGCTAATGCCCTCTTCATGTTTGGTATTAATCTGAAGTCCAGTATTTCTTTTGGAAAGGAAGATAAAATTCTTTCCCAGACATTCGTTTCTTCCCCCATTAAGTTAAAAAAGATCACTTCATCAGTGTGATTCTGAGCAGCTGGGTTGTACCTGTCTAGCTCATGGGGCAGTCGATTTGGCTTGAGTACACTTTCACCACGGGACCTGTCACTCAGCACTGTCTTCTGGCCTGCGTGGTGCAGCCGGCCATGAGCCTGTGGATGGGCGTTTGGGCTGCGTTCATCTGTTATTCTAAATGAGGTTGGAGCTCTGCATGGTCTCTTTTTCTGCATTCTTTCAGAATGTGAGCAAATGGCAGGTTTTAATTACCCCTCTGGTGCATGTTCCCAGAAACACAGTGAAGACCTGAGTTCTGTCTCTTAGGACAGGCGAGGGGCTGTCCTCTTTGCTGGCTGCAGTTAGCCCCTTGGGGATAAATAGACTCGGCTGCCGCAGCCCCACACATGCTCAGCAGGGCTGGGAGAGGCCTGGCCATGCTGATGCCCAGTCTCTTATTGGAATAATGGAATGTTAGAGTTGAAATGACCTTGGACTTGGTCCAGATTTGCTGCCCTTAAACCAGACAGAGAAAACCAAGGCCTGGGGAGCTGAAGTGGTTGTGACAGTCGGTGTCAGCGGGGGACCCAGGGCTCTCGCTGAGGTTCTTTCTATCAGCATCTATGGCGGGATGTCCTGTGTGATTCCCGCCAACCCCTGTGGGTACTCCCAGGAGAAAATTCCCAGTCAGATGCAAGGTGATTTGCAGCACGGGATCCACGTGGATGTTTATGTGACCGATTGTATATCATGCTGTAATTTCCTCTGTCCTTAATTGCTCTAGGTGACAGTAATGTGCTGGGCTTGCAAATTTATTTTAAAGTCTTGCTAACGTGAATTCCATCTTAAAATATTGATTTGTACAGATTTCAGAGGTCTGAACCCCAAGCCTAGCACATGCTAGGAAAGAACTCTCCCACTAAGCTACATCCTCCACGCTTTTCGTTTTATTTTGAGACAGGGTTTTGCTAAGTCGCCCTGGCTGACCTTGAACTGACCTCAGCCTCCCTAGTGGCTGGGATTACAGGTATATACCATCATACCTGCTTCATACTATTTTTATAATTCATCAACGTGGCTCTTGACACAGATGCTTCTGAGGTAGCAGAGAGCACATATAATTTGCCTGTGTTTCACATCATAAAACCAATGCTACCTCTGCTGCTAGTAAAGCTGATTTTGCTTGGCATGAGATGCATGTACACCAGAGAGGTTTCAATATTTTGCCCAGACTTTCACCACAAGAAAATGGCAGTTTGGAAATAAAATTCATGGACCCCCTTTAGTTAAATAGGAACTTCTGAGTTCTGCTGGAGACCCTGCCACTGCTGGGGGGCTTCCCCCATCCTTGAAAGTATGGAAAATTGATTGACAAGGGTGTTTTCAAGTGGAACCACAGAACCCATTTGCAGGCAGAGCAGGTTGTAGAGAGGGAGGGCGTCCATGTGCTGCTCAGGTTTGTGTAGTGCCACGGGCAGCTCAGAGCTCCTGTGCCGTGTGTGTGGGGGGTGCCCGACCCTGTGTGTTTTACCTCCTTACGTGGAGGTGAGGTGCCTTCCCTAAGTTCAGTGTCCTGGGACATCCAGATGGAGAGCCCAATGGCAATAGCAGCTCAAGAGCACCTAGCTTGTACTGATTCTTCATGCTTTCTTTTGTACTTTTTCAGACTGCAAATTCACCTGCACCAGCGGTAAATGCTTATATCTTGGTTCGCTGGTCTGTAACCAACAGAACGACTGTGGGGACAACAGTGATGAAGAAAACTGTCTGCTGGTGACCGAGCATCCACCTCCGGGCATCTTCAACTGTAAGTAACTCTACTCACCGTAGTGCCGTGGTGTCTGGTTGTGGTTTTGAAGTGGACAGGAGGTGGGGTCACTGGGGAATGAAAGGGATACTGATTTTCTGGCTAAGGAAAGAGGCTTGTGTTTTCCCAAAGGAAATGTGTTCTTTCTGTTAAGAGAGAGAGAGGGCTGAAGACCCAGCCTGTTCCCAGAAGTGGTTGGTGGCGCTGTGCTTGGGAACAGATCTTGGTAGCTCCTGGGAGAAGCGCTGACCCATCCCTCGGAGTCACGTGTTGGCTGAGTGTTCTTCATGTTGGTGTTAAGAGATTTTTATTTAGAACACATCACTTCAGAAGCAATTTTAAATAAGGCAAGAAGGCCAGGCAGAGGGTCTGTAACGAATCAAGAAAGTAGAAAAACGGACACGAGACTCTTCAAGGCTGTGTTCACGTGTGTTTGTTGTGTTTCGCCTTCGCACGGGAGAGGCCCCAAGGCGGAGGCTGTGAGCATTTCTTGAGCTTGAAAAGGTGAAATTGGAGTTTAAATTCATCGATTTCTGATCTCATGGCTTTTAGGATGGGGAAGGGGCCAGAATGCAGTTAAGCCCTACTGTTTCTCTCTGAGGAAAAGGAGCTTGGCTCCCTACGTGTCCTTGGGTTGTCTGAGAACCTCAGGTTGGGAGAACTGCCCCTCCTGTGCTTTGGATAAGTGTCCCTGAGGCCCAGGCGTGGTCTCTAGTGTGGTGCTCCTGGGAGGCGGGGGACCTCTAAGAGGAGGGGCCTCGTGAGTGGTCCTCCAGTCCTGGCAGTGTGGCTCCACCCTGTGGACCCACCATGATGCGCTGCCTCACTGCTGGCCCCAAAGCAAGGGCCCCAGCCAGCCATGGACTGAACTTCTGAAGATGTGGGCACGCCCTTCCTTTCTTTGCAGGTGGCTCATGTCATGTATTTGTAACAGCAATGGCACGCGGACTAGCCCAGCCCCTTGGTGGGGTCTCACTGAGATCACTTCAGGGTGCTTTCAGCTACTCACCCCAGTTCTACTGGCATTATTTGGAGGAGTTATATTTAAAATTTTGTGTTGGGGAAATTCGACTACATAAATATCAATGCTACAAATGTGAGAAGAGTGGGTGAGGATATAAGAAAAGAAACCAGTTACTCTCTTCCTACTGCCACCTTGTGTTGGGAGAAAGCTGTGTGTACCCCAATATAAAAAGGTCTGTGCTAGTAGACCTTAAGTCTGCTGCTTATGCTTGCTCAATTCAAGAGCTGGAGTGTACCATTTTCTCAAGACTCTCCATGGTGTCCATTTGCCAGTTCTCACACCGAGTGCTCACCAAGTCCCCTCTGCACACCGCCAGGTCAGCTCTCCAAGCCTAGGATTGACTGTGTGCTTTCTTGGCATCGGGATAGGTTCTCCTCAGGTTGTTTGGTTCCGAAGCCTTTGCATGACCCAGCTGGCCTCCCTCACGGGCCTGTGGCCTCGGGCTCTCTCCAGGTCTGGCTGGCCTTGGTGCACTTGCTGGGTGGTGTCCTGCTGAGAGAACGGGAACCAACACAGGGAGGGACCTGGGAGGACTGTCACAGGGCATAGAAGTGGGGCTGGGAGCAGGGTGGAGTATCCCCTGAGGGTTGGAAGGTGCTTGCAGGAAAGCCAAGAGCATGGGAGGACCTTCTTCTTATCATGGGAAGACGCTCATGAGCCCACAACCCAACAGTACAGTTGGGGACGTGCTTGCTCCAGGCTAGACCCCGGGACCTCCCAGCAGTTAGGTTATGCTGTCTCTTGTGCCCTGTCCCCTACTCTGCACAGTGGGGCCACAAGCATGGTGGTTGTGGGCACGGCATGGGACAAGGCACATGAAACACGCAGAACAGGCCTTGAAGTGCTGAGCAGTTGAGGTGGGTCAGCTGGGCTCCACAGGCGTCTTGCCGAAGAGCAACGTAGAAGTGCTTTCTTATTTTATTTTCTCCAGGCCTGAGTGACAAGGGTCATGAGCGTGATAAAGTGTGAGGGGCATCACCGCCATGTGGGGCAGGCCTTCCTTCCATAGCCGAGGTTCTGTGTGAATGAAGGCAGAGGGTGGTGGGCTTGGCCTGGGCCCTGGAGCTGCCCACCACCCCTGTCTCAGATGCTCTCCTTCACTTCCGGTCCTTCCACGAGGTCCTCCTGTCACTTTTAACCCTTTGCTCTTCTAGTTCCTCCTCTCCCCACGGGTTCCCTGTCTCCCTCTTCCCCTTTCTCATCCGTATTCCTCTCTGGTTCTTTTCCATTCATTATACAAATGTGCACACTTCCATTCTAAGCGGTGGCCCCCTAAGTGATTCCATCTGGCCCTAAGGGAGGGGTCTTAGATCCGGTTGGCAGTGGTGGCCCTATGCCTCAGAAACCACTGACCGTGTCTTCATAGCCAAGATGGGGGATTTCTTACAGGGAAGGACCCTGGCTGTCTTCTGCTGACCGGGGGGAGGGACAAACCCCTTCAAAGCTGAGCGTCTGTATCTGTGGGATGGAATGATTCCTGCCACATAAGGCTGCCGTGAGGATCTATGGGAAGCCCACATGGGGGTGGTGGAACCTCATGTCGTCATTGTGATGTGAGTCAGCCAGTTTAGGGGACCTGGATCGCTGTCCTCAACCTCAGGGCCACTCTACACATGTACTAGGAGTTTCCAGGTTTCCTAGTGGGTGCTCCTCCGAGGCTCTGGGTGCTTCCCACCCATTCTGTTCCTAAGAAGTGTGCCAGCTGGCCGTGACCTGGCCAGTGGCTGCCCCACGCTTCTTTCCCAGAGCAAGGTGGATAGTTGCCGCTTGGAAGGACACTTGCTCTGAGCTCGGTGTAGCTGGCCTGTCCTTTAGGTCAGGAACTTTTGGCGAGGTTGTCACTGCCCCATTCTTGCTGATACTCCCTTTAGGTAGACACACAGTTCTGTCACCTGGAAAGCCTGCAGGGTGGTCTAATCTAGAAGGGAGATGCACCCTCTCCCTGCACCCTGCCCAGAAGGAATCTAGTCTAACAAGGAGCACTGGGCTTCCCCTGAGTGGCTGGGAACGCATCTTGGAGGTGCTCCACTTAGTGAGTTTTACTAGACGACCCCTTTTTAACTGGACCATCTACCAATGCATTCTTTTAAATTGGACCCTCTATGGGTGCATTTCCTACACAGATGGACAGTGTCCCTTTCATGGAGCATAACTGTGTTAGTAAGATGCTCCTGATCTTGTGTCCCCACGTGTGTGTGCCTAATCTCAGCTGGTCTGCCTGAGACCCACTAAGCGCCAGCCCTGTCCCCCCACACGGCCCCACTTCCACTCTGACAAGGTGAAAGAAACTGTCACAAACCAGGAAAAACCAAACTGCAGGCACCGTGGGCATTGGTGGGAAAGGAACTGCTTGCAGAAAGAAGACGGTGGTTCGTAGAAGAGCTACCGCAGATGGTAAAAAACTTCAATTCTGCTTAAAGAAGTTAGGAGTAAACAACATCTCTGGTGTTGAAGACGGGAATATGTTTACAGACCAAGGAACAGCGGTCCACCTTAACAACCCTCAAGCCCAGGTGTCTGTGGCAGCAAACACTTTCACCAGTACAGGCCACGCTGAGACAGAGCCACCGACCCAAGTGCTGCCCGATACCTGGAAGTAGCCCTGCAGGCAGTCTGACCAGTTTAAGGAGACTGGCTGAACCCTGCCCACACAATCTGTGGATGGAAAGGCACAACTTGCTACTGGAAAGGACCATAATGAAGTTTTAGATCTTGTGGGAAATTTTGATGAGGCTTCTAAGGAATGGGGCAAACTGAACTGACCAACTTTTGAAAACAATAAACTCATATTGGTCATGAGTCACATATATACATACAGTAACAATGTCTGTTTCATTCTACTATCTTTCCTATCCCACATCCCCTCCCCTCCCCTCCCTTCACTTCCCTCTACCTAATCTAAGGTAATGCTATTCTTCTCTGGTGCCCTGCTCTCCTTATTGTGAATTAGCATCCGCATATTAGAGGAAACATTCTGCCTTTGGTTTTTTGGGATGGCTTATTTAGCTCAGCATGATATTCTCCAACTCCATCTATTTACTGGCAAATGCCATAATTTCACTCATCTTTAAAGCTGAGTAATATTCCATTGGAAAAAAAAAATATATATATATATATATATATATATATATATACCACTTTTTTATCCATTTATCTATTGAACTAGGTTAGTTCCATAGTTTAGCTATTGTGAATTGAGCTGCTATAAACATTGACATGGTTGCATTACTGTAGTATGCTGATTTTAAGTCCTTTGGATATAAACCAAGAGTTGGGATAGTTGGGTCAAATCGTGGTTCCAGTCCCAGTTTTCTGAGAACTCTCCACACTGCTTTCCATAGTAGTTGCACTAATTTGCAGTCCCACCAGCAATGTATGAGTGTGCCTTTTCCCCCACATCCTCACCAACATTTATTTTTGCCTGTAGTTTTGATTGCCATTCTGACAAGAGTGAGATGAAATCTTAGAGTAGTTTTGATTTGCGTTTCTTTAATTGATAGAGATGTTGAACACTTTTTCATATATTTGTTGATCGATTGTATTTCTTCTTTGGTGAAGTGTCTGTCTGTTCAGTTCCTTAGCGCATTTATTGATGGGGTTATTTGTTTTTTTGGTGTTAAGTTTTCTGAGTTCTTTATATATACTGGAGATTAATGCTTTATCAGAGGTGCATGTGGTAAAGATTTCCTCCCACTCTGTAAGCTCTCTCCTCACATTATTGACTGTTTCCTTTGCTGAGAGGAAACTTTTTAATTTGAATCTATCCCATTTATTGATTCTTGATTTTACTTCTTGTGCTTTAGAGGTCTTGTTAAGGAATTCAGATTCTAGGCCAATGTGGTAAATATTTGGGCCTATTTTTTCTTCTATTAGGCACAGGGTCTCTGTTCTAGTGTCTAAGTCTTTGATGTACTTTGAGTTGAGTTTTGTGCAGGGTGAGAGATAGAGGTTTAATTTCATTTTGCTACATATGGAT